CAATCTGATATAGGCTATACATTTACATTCCTATTAAACATATTTTCACGTTAGTGGTGTTGTCAATAAAAATTAAAACCAATAGGAGGAACCATCAGAAAGAGAAAACAAAACTCAACAGAAGAGAAAAAAAATAGTAATTCAGCTCTCATAGTTCTTTCTTTGGATGTGGATAGCATTTTCCATTACAAGGCCTCTGGAGATATCTCAGATCCTTAGCTGAGAAGGGTTAAGTTTATCAATATTAGTCATCGCACAACATGGCTGTTATTGTGTACAACGTCCTCTTGGTTCTGCTCATTTCACTCAGCATCAGACCATACAAGTCTTTCCAGGTTTTTCTGAAGTCAGCCTGTTCAGCATTTCTTATAGCACAGTAGTATTCCATTACATTCATATACCACAACCTGCTTGCTCAGCCATTCCCCAATTGATGGGCATCCTCTCAATTTCCAATTCTTTGCCACCACAAAAAGAGCTGCTATGAATATTTTTGTACATATGAGTCCTTTTCCCATTTGTATGATCTCTTTGGGATATAGCCCTAGAAGTGCTATTGCTGGTAAGGAGTTATTTTCATCAGTGAATTTTTGTACCTCTTTTTCTATTTGATCAATTCTATTTTTCAAGGTGTTGTTTTCTTCAGTATTTTTTGTGCCTTTTTTCCAAGCTATTAATTGTTTTTTCATAATTTTCTTGTATCATTCTCATTTATTTTTTCCAATTTTTCATCTACCAAGCTTATTTGATTTTTAAAATGATTTTTTAAAACTCTTTCAGGAATTCTTGTTGGGCTTGTGTCATATTCCCATTTCTTCTTTGATGTTTTTCTTGTAGCTATTTTGAGATCTTTAGCTTCTTCTGAGTTTGTGTCTTGATCTTCTCTGTCACTTTGTCTTTATGGTCAGGTTATTTTTTTGTTTGCCAATTTTCCAGCCTATTTCTTTTTTTTTTTTATAGGCAATTGGGGTTAAGTGACTTGCCCAAGGTCACACAACTAGTAAGTGTCAAGAGTTTGGTTTGAGGCCGGATTTGAACTCAGGTCCTCCTGACTTTAGGACCGGTACTCTATCCACTGTACCACCTAGCTGCCCCTTCCAACCTATTTCTTGACTTTGAATTTTATGTTAAAGTTAAACTCTATTCTTGGGGTAAGATTAGGCTGGGGGTCGGGAAGTAGGCATTGTCTCAAACTTCAGGTTTTTTTCACACTGCTATTCTCAGAGCTAGTTCTGGGGGCTTGGAAGTTTTCGGTGCTTCTAAGGTGGTGTGATCTGGGAAAAGGTGTAGTCACTGTTCTACTGCTTTGTGCTCTGATCCTTACCCAGGAAGGGCCCCTAATCCCTTGCAGTCGCAAGCACTAGTGTTCCTCAGGGTCCCTGTTGCCTTGTGACTGCAAGTGCTCTTCTCCACCTTGGAACTGCACCCCAGAAGTGGATATAGGCAATGGAGTTGCCAAACAATCCCTGGTCCTACAGCCAATGACAGCACATGGGTTCGATATGTATTCTATTTTTCTTACCGGTTGCCTGATCCCCTTACTCTCTGCCTTGAGAACTCCTGAAGCTACTGCTACAGCTGCCACTGCCACCAAGTTCCACAATTGATGTTGTCCTCATGTGAACTCTGGACCAACCTCCACCCCAATGTTACAAACCTGTCCTTCTGACCTACTAAGTTGTCTTGGGCTGGAAAAAATGTCTCATCTTGACCTTTTGTTGGCTCTGCTGTGACAGAATTTAATTTGAGGTGTTATTTTAAAGTTATTTGAAGGTCTGTGTTGGGAGAGTTTGGTTATAGAGTTTCTTCTTCACTATTAAATTCATTTGTCCCCATAGTTAGCCATTTAGGTTCCATTCAAGAGATCTGTTTCTCACGGTCATATGGCTTCAGAGCCTTTCCTCCAGCCTGTCCTCTTACCATATAGTGTCTTACCGGACAGCACAATCAAGTCACTGAGTTCTGTCAGATGCAACTGAGGCAAAGAGGAAGTAACTGAAGTTGACAGGAACTTTTTGAATGCCTCCATGGCCGATCACAGAGCTTCCTGTCTACCAGGGAGCCATCCAAACTGAAGCAGTTACAGAATATTTTTTCATGCTCCACAGTCTCTCAAAGGCACTTGCTCCCTGTTTTCCTTCATGTTGAAGGGTTGTATCAGTCAAAAAAAGTGATGGGGTTTTATTTGAAAGAGGAGAGGGTAGACATAGGAAGCTGAAAATAGAAATGTTATCATGAGGGTCTGTCCTATGACAATGTTGGTAAAAATGGAGTGGAATGGATGGTTGTTAGAGATATTGTGAAGATTGGATCAGCAGAATTTGGTAAGTAATTTAAGATGCAACATGATGAAGAAGGAAGAGTCAAAGGCTTTTAACATGAGAGACTTGTCATAAGGTGGTGCTGATGACAGAAATAGTGAAGTTCATTAATAATGGTGTTGTGGTAGGATGAGTGAAAGACTAGTTATCAATAGTTAAAATTTAAACTTTTCATTATTAAATTCATTTGTCCCCATAGTTAGGCTCCAGATTCCTACTTCCTGCCAATTACCAAAGCAATTTCAAAAGTATAAAGACCTTAATACCACTACTAGGTCTATATTCCAAAGAGATTTTTTTAAAAAGGGAAAGAGTGCATTTGTACAAAAATATTTATAGCAGTTCTTTTTGTGGTAGCAAAGAATTGGAAATTGAGGAGTATGTCTGTCAATTGTGGAATGTCTGGACAAGTTGTGGTATATGATTGCAATGGAATATTGTTGTGCTATAAGAAATGATAAGCAGAATAATTTTGGAAAAACCTGGAAAGATTTACATGAATTGATGCAAAGTGAAGTGAGCAGAACCAGGAGATCACTGAACACAGTAACAGAGATATTGTATAATGATCAACTGAGAATAACTCTGCTATTTTTAGTAATACAATGATCCAAGGCACTGCCAAAGGACTCATGCTATTCACTTTGAGAAAGAACTGATGGAGTCTGAATGTAGATTGAAGCACACTATTTTTCACTTTACTTTTCACATTTTTTTTTGTCTCTGTGTTTTCTTCCCAACATCATTAATATGGAAATATGTTTTGCATGACTGAACATAAATAAACTATATAAACTTGCTTTCTGTCTTGGGGAAAGGGGAGAGGAAGGATGGAGGAGAGAATTTAATCTCAAAATTTTAAAAAAGAATGTTAAAAATTGTTTTTGCATTTCATCGGGAAAAATAAAAAAATTCAAAACACTAGTACATAAGCATTATAAAAAAAGAAGTTTAATTAATTAATTAACTCATTTATTATGTTAATGGAAAGAGCCTCTGGAACACTTTGAAACATATCTCAAGTATTTATCCCTAGGGTATAAATTGTCCAGGTCCATACTGATACCTAAAGCATATTAATGTTTTCCCTAGCTGTGAGCAGCTTCCTGATCTGAGGCCTTTTTTCATTCTAGAATTTTCTTCTCATATTTGAGTATCACTCATTCATACTTGCTTTTATTATTCAACCAATCTTTCTTGAGCATATACTGTGTGGATGTGTGCTTGAGTGTGTATGCACATGTGTGCATGTGTGTGGGAGAATACATAGAAGAGATTTCATTCCTTTCTCAGGAGCCTCACTCTCTATTTGTCAAGCCAGAACAGTTTTAAGAGTTAAATAATGATAGGTGACAGCACATGCTAAATGTCTTAGAAGCGGCACATGTAGTCAGTGCTATCAGAATTCAGAGGACAGAGATCATTATGCGATAGGGCAGTCTCCGAAGCTCTCGTGGATGAGGGTGAGACTTGTGCTATATATTGCAGTGGTAGACCCAAGAGCTTCCATTGGATCATTGGAGTTAGTGGCTTTCTCTCTTAACTTGCCATAAGAAATCACAAAGTGAGATTGATTTCTACCTGTGAGAAGATTCTATCCAATCCTGAGCCCTGGGACTAAAGTAAGAGAGGCATTTCATAGCACATAAAGTGTCTTGAATCAATTAGGGATGAATTTTTAATGAACTGCTTTCTTTATGCGAGATCCAAATACCCCAGGCTGATAAGGTAGTCACTGTACCCTCTTTCCTACCTCAGCTCTACCAGGGAGAGCTCCTGATACCTACCAGGACAGTGGCTATACCTTTGACAATAGCAGAGATAACAGTGTATTGGGTGCTTTCTTCCTCACTAGGTCTCAGGTCATTTCATTGGGTCTTTTTGAGCTATGTGGTGCAGTGGATAGAGTGCTGCACCTCAGAAAGACCCTGCTGCCCCTCCTCCTTCCCAACCAGGATCCCCCTCTGCCAGATTTCTACAAAGTTTCTAGGGCAGTCACAGAAAATTTCTCATAAAGAGAGGGTTGGAAAATAATCTCTATTACAGAATATGATGCTGAAGGTTGAAAGCGAGTCCCTTCAAGCTTAAGACACAGAGGGTCTTTACCTTGAAACCAAAAATTTAATCCTGCTATATCTATTTACTTTGCCTTATGGATAACAAAAAATGCAGTGTCAATTGATGCAGCTTGGTTTTTCAAGGTATACTTAAATCCTGGTCCTTCTGGTAGTGAGATATCTTAATTGATTAATCTATTTTAGTCTTCAAGACTAAGTATGGAAAGTTTTTAAAAGGCATTTAGTGAAGTGAAGTGATGCCAGATAAAAAATCTGGCCCAATTGGCTGAAGGATTTCATTATGATCTCTGGGTCTTGTATGAAAGCATCCAATTAGTTAAAAAGGCGAATTCCAGAAATTGGGAATAAACCTGGAATTTTAGGTGAATTCTCCTGACAAAGAACTCCCTGGGTGTGGAGGGGAGGGGAAGGGGAGAGGCCTTGTTATATATCTTTCTCTGCTCTGGTTTTTGACTGAGAAAGGCTAAGTCAGTTTTGAAGGGTCCAGAGGATTTTGGAAGTCTCATTTGTCCATTGCTGTCCTAGCACCATATCCTTGGGCCAACACTGGTTCATTGCACTGAGACAACACTAGCTTACATCTTCTCTTCATTTCCTTAAGGATGTCCCTGGACAGCTGGAGGCAGTGTCTTCTCTGGTAACCAAGGATATATGGACACATATTCATTATGCTTAAGGGGAACTTCCTGAGTACACCATGAATAGGAGAAAAGGACTTCCAGAAATCAGGAGCTGTGAGTTTCCCCTTTGCCATACATGATTTTTATGTTTAAAACCACTCTCTCTTAGTCTGTACGTGTATTTAAGGGAAAGAATGTCACAGACCCTCTTGGGGAGGATGTTTTGTACCAAGTGTTCTTACTGTACCATTTTATTAAGTACCCTTTCTAAAAGCTACTTAATGCTGGCTTGTTAAATTGATTCTCACTATCATTCTCGTGGACAATCTTGGGTGGAAACACACTGGTGGAGACTTGAATTGATGGCATTAAAGAATCATTTCACTCACCCTAAGGTAGGCCCCAGACCTTTGAATGAGGAATGTAGATAGCCAAGTTCTGGGAAGCCTCACAGTTTATATGGGCTACCATGAGAAATGGGATACTTTCTTTGCTTCCTTTTCTAGCATTGACCCTATCACCATCCAACTATTAATTCTGAAAAACACACCTATCTTATTGATTGTATGGACTTCTTCTGTTTCCTGAAGTGGAACATAATTTCCTGGTGGTAGAGGTGAAGGTGACAGGGTGAAAGGAGGAGGTAGCAGAGTCCTGCAAAATGCTAGGGAGGTACTGGTTCAAAGGCTGCTATGCAGAGACCTTTAATGTTGATTAGAATCTTAAGATAAAATTCAGACTTTCAGGCTTATGCTGACATGGTGCCTGAAGTATACAGGGTTATCTCCAGGGGTATTGGTCAGATAGGCGTTCTATGATTAATTCAGTTGGCTACAAAGTAATGTCATTTATTATCTCATCCTGCCTCATACCATCCCATATCAAGCAGAGTATTTAATCAATGAAACAAAATAAAGAATAATGCTGTAAGACACTGTGGTCAAGCTCAAATTAAAACATGGCCACTAGTCTCTACAGAAGGATCCCTGTAGGCAGTATATTAACTTAGATTTAAAATGTGATGTTATCTATGTTACATTATATTTTATTTATTTTGTTAAGTATTTCTAAATTACATTTTAATCTGGTTCACACCATACTTGGGAGTATTGTGAGTCCCATGAGGCCCAAGGGCTTGTATGTTTGACACCTCTGTTATAAGAGTAAACCTCTGTCTCCAGTTTTATTGGGAATTGTAATGAATCAGTGCCATTTTGACCAAAGTATTGACTGGGAATTTTTATAATCAAAGGTACATTGCTAGCAGGAAAAAATGTTTAAAATTTTAAATAATAGACAATAGATAAAACTTTAGAGATTATTTTAAATTGTTTTTTTCTCCATTATATTTACACATAAAAGAGAAAAAATTTTTAAAAAGTTTTGAAAATTATAAAATATTTTTAAGTGACCTTAGTTAGCATCAGAAGATGTGGGTGAAAATGTTATTTCATGGTCCATAGTGATTAAGAAAGCAGTATTGATTAAAAGGTAAAGAAGAAAAATCATAATGTACAATGTGTTATCACATCACTGAACTTTAACTGAAAACTGATTTACCAAATCACTGATGAATGGAACTAGGGTGGGTGGGAACAGGTGAGAAGGGGAAAAGGGGATCTGCGGGATATTTCATACCAAGGTTGGGGTCCGACCTTGACAAAACATGCATTCCCCCTTGCTTTGTGCTTCCTACTTCAAATTTCTAATATCCAATGCAGTGGAAATTTTTTCAGTTATCATTAATTGTTCACTTGTTGGTTGTTGGCATGAATACGGATGTGTGCCAGCTTTAAAAAAGCTCTTATTTTGAATCTATTTGAAATATTATAAATTTAATGCAAAAAGGCACAGAAGCCCTCTGTGATGTTCACTTACTTCATGTGGCATCAAGATTCATAGACTTAGAGCTTCGATGGAGTTAAAGGGTCATCCACTCCTACTCTCTTATTTTGTAGATAACGAAACTGGAAGGTAAATGACTTACCCAAGGTCATTCAGGTTGAAAGTGGAAAAGTCAGAATTTAAAGCTACATTCTCTGGTCCTAAATCAAGTGTTCTTTCTACTGTACCATGCTGTTTCCAGCAGGTTGAGCTATTATATATTCAGCCTCAGGGAAACATTAATTTTCACTAGTACTTGTAATTTACTCCTAAATTCGTCCCAAATTTATCCCAAACTTAAATCTAGCTTTACAATCGGGGCCTACATAAGCATTTATTGTTGAAATTTTTGTTTTAATCTTCCCAATTTTCTGTTGTTTTGGCTTGGCTTGACTTGGTTTGGTTTGTTGGATTGGTTGGTTGATGTGATTCATTTAACGTGGTAAATACATGTAATTGTGAAAAACATCCATGAAAAATTTACGTACATACACATACATACATATGCACATACACACATACTCCAGTAAGATTTAAGGGTTATAGTTAAGAAAGGCAGATAAACATACATCAGCATTTTGAATTGAGAACAGAAATGAATGCCACATATACTGATTATAATTTACATTTATATCTCTCCTTTATTCACAGGAACTCAAAGAAACTTAAATAATTTGTCTTCTTAATCCTCCTCTTAAAGGAGGTGACCAGTGTTAACTGTGCTCATTGTTCTGAATGGAGAAGTAGAGGCATAGAGTTGTTTAAATTATTTCTCCAAGATCATTCATTAAATTAGTTGGGAGAATTATAATATGGCTTTTTAAACTTTTTTTAAACTTTGCTGACCACTGCTTGTCCCCTGAACGAGAGTATTCCATTCCCTACCCGAGGATAAGGCAATGAAATGATCCTTAAACAAAAAATTTGTTTATTTCACATCACTATATATTTCTTTAGTTGTATATAACCTGTGACATTGTATACCACATTTACTGTTAAAATCCAAACTCTAGCTAATGTTAACATTAACAAATTAGTTTTAACTATAGTGAGAAAGCCTGGCTGACATTAAATCTTTCATAAAACCAATGGAGATAATTTTCTCATTAATTGTCTTTAAGTAATTTCACCCCCACACTGAAGGGCCCAATAAGCATTGATCTTTAATCATGACAAATTCAGTGGTAATAATCTTATATGTTTTTCTTGGAACCACATATTATAGATAAAGATATTAAAAGTATAAAATTTATTTTTGAAATAAATGTCCTAATTACTCACTCATGTAATTATAAGGAGGATTAATTTGGGAGATTTTTATAAGGGTATAAATGAGGATTAAGGGCCTGAATGAATTAGGGGGAATTAGGTGGTACAGTAGATAGAGTGCTGGGCCTGGAGTAGGAAAGACCTGAATTCAAATCCAGTCTCAGACGCTTACTAGTTGTCTAACCCTGGTCAAGTCACTTAACCCTGTTTGCTTCAATTTCTACATCTGTAAAATGAGCTGGAGAAGGAAATGACAAATCACCCCAGTATCTTTGCCAAGAAAACCCCAGGTGATACTATTAAAAATGACTCAACAATGACACACAACATGAATGAAAATTTATATGGTTTTCTATTATTTGAGATAGAAAATAAATTCACATTCAATTTAAATAAATGCCACAATTTTTTCTTAAATGGCAATTATGATTAAAGTACTCTACTAGGCAGTAGGGATACAATGACAAAAATGAAACAATCCCCTGACCTCAAGTTCTCCTACTTAAGACTCCAATATGTATACAAATAAAATATATAATATATAAAACAAAGTAATTTCAATGAGAAATTGTTAACAATTTAGGACAAGGAGGTAGATCTGAGAAGGCTTTTTATAGAAGGTGGCCCCTGAGTAGTTTTTGAAGGAAGCTGGGTGTTCTATGAGGTGAAGGTGAGGAGAAATCATGTTCCATTTATAGGGAGGCAGTTAGCCAAAGACACTGAAATGTCACTTACGAAGAATAGCAAGTAGCCCAGTTTGGCTGAAATGGAAACTGTGAGGGGAGTAACATAAAATAAGACTGGAAAAGAAGATGACAGCCAGATTATCGAGGCCTTTACACCCCAGGCTGTGCATTTTATATTTTATCCTGGATGCAATAGGGAGGGATTGGAAATTTTTGAGTCAGGTGGACAGTCAGGGTCAGAGTTGTATTTTAAGCATATTCACTTGGTCGTAGCATGGAGGCTGTTCTGAAGCAGGGAGACTGATTAGGAGTCTATTACAGTAGTCCAGGTGAGAAGTGATCTGGGCCTGAACCAGGGTAGAGACTACGAGAGGAGAGAGAAGGGGACAGATTCAAGGCATTATAATGGTAGAAATGACAAGCGCCACTGGTAAGTAATTAGATATTGGAATATGAAAAAGGTGAAAGTCAAAGTTGACTTTAAAGTTGTGAAATTGGATTGCTGAAAGAACAGTGGTGTCCTCAACAAGAAGAAGCCATATAGAGGAGTGACAGGTTGTTTGGGAAATATGAGATCAATTTTGAACATGTTTGAGTTTGAGATACTTATGGGATATACTGGTGGAAGGGAGTTAGTAATGTGGACCTGGATAGAGATGATAGTTAAACCTGTGGAATCACTAAGGAACAGAGATTAAAAATGGAAGAGTAGAAAAACTAGGACAGAATCTCAGGGTTCATTCAGACTTGGTGAACAGGAGAAAGGGGCTGATCTTGAAAAGGATACTGAGAAGGAATGGTTTGTCAGGTAGAAGAACCAAGAGAGAAAAATGTGATGGGAACAAGGCAGGAAAGTTCTGAAAAAGGGGTGACAATGTAGTAGTAATGGTAACACCAGTAATTATACAACTCGTAGCTAGCATTTTTGTAGTGATTTAAGTTTTGCAAAGTGCCTTAATGTACTATTAGCTCATTTGGTCTTTACAACAACCCTCTGAGGTAGATGCTACTATTATCCCCATTTTACAGATGAAGAAACTGAGTCTGAGAGAGGGTAAGTGACTTGCAGGCATGTAACTGGTCTGTGTCTGAGGCAAGATTTAAACCCAGAGCTTTCTGAGTAAAATGAATGACTGAAAAGAGGCCATTGGATTTATTTATTTATTTTAAGTAATATTTTATTTTTTCCAATTACATGTGAAGACAATTTTTAACATTCATTAAAAAAAACATTTATTCCAAATCTTTTCCCTCTTTTCCTTCCCCCTCCCTAAA